CTCCTGTTTCTATCCCTAATACCAAGTATATGACTTCTTATGCCTTAGTCCCTTGTGTGCTAACTCATAAATGTTGTGGTACTGCTTGCTTTGATTAGGTTCAATGTTGAACAAAAGGCCACCCCATCTTGCTCTTCATATCTTCAATTAAGCATTTTAATTAATTGTGAGCTAATCAACTTTTGGTCTCTTAATCATCAATAGAACAATGTTAGATCTCTACTCTTCTGGCAATAGTAATAACCAATTATATAAAACTTTGTTTTTTCTTATGCTATGGAATTCTTACTTTTTTGTATCTCTTGAATGGTAAATGTTTAATATTATCTCGATTTTGTATACATAAGTTTTAGGGTATTGGCACTAGTCTTCTATCTGCCACTATCAGCTTTCCTTAACTTATAATATAAAAAAGTTTTCAATATTCTTTTGCCTAATAAGCAAGGAACTTCTTTCCTGTAATTTTATTTGAGCTTTTCTAAGTTATCGCAGAAATATTAAGTAATTTTTGTTGCATATTAGAATTATTTACATTATCCCCTATACATTAATTAATTTATTTTCAGGCTTTCTACCTATTATATTTATTAGTTTTTATCGCTATTAACTTTTATGCTTTCGCCTTAAGAACTAATCCTACGGAGTGCACAGATATGGCTACTTGGTCTTCGCTCAGTTTGGTTAATCAGCCGGGTATTTCTGCCTTTTACGCATCATCAACTGGAGAGGCTGGTTCATTTTGCACCAGCTTTGCTTCCACATCTTCATCATTATCCTGTGGACATAATCGCTCAGTCGAAGCAGACGATAACACTACTTCCTCGATGTCTGCCGGACCTCAGGAAGGGCCTGGCCGCCGACTGTTTACTCATGCGGCAGGAGTAGCCGGAGCTCCGACTAGAACCCGACGTCCTGCTCTTTTAGCGAGTGGAGGGCTAACCTCTCATTTAAAACTTCATCAGGTAATCCTTGATTTTGAATATTATTTTGGCATTTCCACCGAAATTCTCAATGCTTTCGCTTTCTTTTTTATTCTTATGAATCACAACAATGTTAATCGTTTTATATTTTTTATCTCAGATTTCATATGGTAACATAAAAACATCTTTAACCTCAACAATTCATAACTCCTGTTTCTAGGGCAGCATCTCAATATCAAGCAATAACGAGATGATGCGGCCTCTATTTTGGTCGATGTCTCCTTTCTCGGTATAGATATAGTTTGGCCTACCTTTCAAAATCTGGCTTGTTTTCAGGGAGACTCAGATAAGCACACCTTGTCCGGAATTCTTGGCCATAGATGTCATGATTAGTTCCAGCGCTGGAATGTGGACTTGGTAAGTTCCCATCCCTTCAATAAACCTGCTCCGACAGGTGCTTAGGAGTAGATTTAAATAGGCTGATTGGAAATTGTGATAGCTAGGAAGAGGGTATCTAGGATATCGGATTGGTAAATATACCGGGACAGAGGAGGTACCACAGTCGTTTGGCCTAAAGTTGGTCAAGGGATGGACTTCTCTTGTCCCTTTACCTGTAGCTTGGATAAAACGGTCCACTGACGATGCCAATGAAGTCTCTGAAAATTTTACTTCTAAAAAAACGATTTATCAATTATTTTATAAACTATCATGCCAACTCAGCAATTAACCTTTTTAACAATATTATTCCTTCAAATTCACTGGCAAGTCGTGCTCAGTGCTATTTTTGTTCATCATGCCATATCAACAATCCTGCCAGTTTTCAAACTTGATGTTGATTTGGATCTAATTTACTATGATACTGTCCTTCACTTGTAATCAATCACCTATTCCTCGAAATTTTTTCTGTAATGCAGCACATTCATTACTTATCCCTCCTTTCGTCATCAAATTCCACTGACAAACTTGATTCAAGCACTGACACTAAATTATTTTAATAAAATTAATACCTCTCATATTTTAAAAATATCATGGACAATCCTTGTTATCTCCCCTTTTTATAGCTCTTCGCAGTCTCAGCTTCACCATACTTACTTTTATTTCCAATTTCTCTCTCTTCAGACTCCTAAGCCGCCTTCCGAGGATGGCATATCTGCCGACTTGAGACAGATCTCTTTAGGTGACTCTAGCCTGGCTAATAAGCAAACATCCTCTTTCGAGTCCGTAGGCGGTTCTGGCTTGGCCACAGGCCCAGGAGGGTCCAATGGAAGTGGCATATCTCTCCGTTTAGCTCATTCTGCTGCATCGCCTGTTTTCCTGGGCCCTAAGTTCGGACCCTATGCTCAGCATTACTACACGAGCCAATATCACTCTTACCATGGGCAGCAGCATGGGAATACTCATGCACTCCAGCAGCCATATCAAGTTGCTGAGTCTCAGATGCTTATTGAGCCCTGTTTTGTTACTTTTTCTGGGCCAATGGCTGCCGAGCTCGCTTACTCAGAGGAGATGGTAAATTAGCTGGCTGCAAGTTCATTTATACAATTTCATCGAAACCTTGTATTAAAACCTATTAAAATAATTGATTAGCCGTTTTTAACTTATTCATGTGATTAATTTTCTGTTTCCGCTTCTACTCGTCATGTTTATCCTCTTTTCTCCATCACCTTGTCGACAACGTCTTAGAGTTTGGATGGTCACTTTATATTTTATAAAGGTATTTGGTAGTTTTTTATCGAAGCTATGGAGACCAAGATGGTGTGGCCTATTGTATGGTCGCAGACTCTCTTTCGTTTTAAAGGAGTTGTTTGACCTTGTTTTATCAACTTGGTCATGTGGAGCGCACCTAGTTCGGAGTCCATAGTATGCATGATAATTTCCAGAGTCCGAACATGGACCTGATAGATTCCCAGACTTTTCGCCGGCAACGTAGTCGACACCGTCAGTAAGCTTTGCCAATCTTACCACCACACTACAATTCGTAGTGGTGACAAATTGTCTGCTAAACAATTGTGATATCTCTCCTTCTGTCTTGGGCTATTCCCTAATCCTATATCCTCGTATCACCCCTTCAATATCACAATTTCTTATTTAAATGTGGCATGGTGTGTCTTCTTTAAGCGGATGTCATTAGAACAACCTAAACACCACGCTGGCTTTCTCACCCCTTCCCCCAGAAATCCTCTCCTCATAGGTCTTATCAGAGTATCCCTCTTTTCCCGTATGATCAGTTACCTACCTTCCTGGTTCAGTTATTTCACTCGACCCATGTCACCCTATCTGTACTATTCTAAGCGTTATTTCCCACACTGATGGCATATAACTCCCGCATTGCTAAGTAGGCCCATGAAAATCAATATTCTCGAGCATTGTGGTAGACTAACTTGAGGCTAAAGCGAATGAGTATTTCTCATTGTTATTCCTTTACTTCATGGACCACGTCTATTATCAAACACTTCTACCGTTAGCCCACTAGCTCTAGTCTCCACCGAGTTTATCCTGTTTCTATTCCTAATACCAATTTTATGACTTCCAATCGATAGAAAGGCTGGCTGGTGCCAACTCGCAAATATTGTGGTTAACTTGTTTGGATGGGGTTCAATGTGAACCACAACATTTTGGGTTGGCACACAAGAGAGTAGGGCATTGTAAGTCATACAATTGGTATTAGGAATATAAACAGGATAAATGCGGTGAAAACTAGAGCTAGTTGGCTAACGATATAAGTGTTTGATAATAGACGTGGTCCATGAAGCAAAAGCTTGATCATGAGAAATACTTGTTCGCTTTAGCCTCAAGTTTGTCTTCTATCCAGCTTGAGAATCCTGATTTTCAGGGGCTTACTCAGAAATGCGGAAGTACGCATGCCATCAAAGGCTTAAGATAGTGTGGGAAATAACACCAGGAAGGTAGTCTCTTTGACGAGTTGTTGTGTGCTGCTAAGAATGGTGAGACTCACTGGCGATGCCGACGAAACGTCTGGGAATGTACCATGTCCACGGTCCGACTTTGGAAATGATCATGCAATGGACTCCGGACTAGGTGCGTTCCTCTAAGTCTTTTTACAAATATGATCAAGTTGCGAAAGCAAGGTCAACCAACCTCTAAACTTATAGATTATTTCTATATGCTAAGAGTACTCCACATTGCATGTAATGCTTTGTATTAGTTAAGAGTATGTTTCACTTATCATTAATCCTTAAACAGGAATTTAGTCAATTTAGGTCGTTTCAGGTGGGTTAGCAACTGATAGCTGAATTTTACTCATGGAAATGAATAGCCCTCATCATGCCATTTTACTATACTTAGTCTTGCCTCCAAATCAATGGAAATCAGGGATAAGTAAAATTTAATGGCATTGTGAGGCCTATTTATTATCGATGTAAAGATTTTAATTTCGTATGGAAGTACATGATGAAG